AGCTGTGACTCTGACGGTCCTTTCCCCGGTCTGAGCTGTGACTCTGATGGTCCTTTCCCCCGGTCTGAGCCTCGCTCTCCCCTTCTCTAAAGCACAGCTAACAATGCTATAGGAATATTAAGTGTTAAATTCAGTAAGCCTCCCCTTGAACACTTAGTATTACCGCTAAGAAAAATTGTTCCTGAGGCTGGAGAGATGGCTCGGCAGTTGAGAGCACTCACTTCTCTTCCAGAGGACCCAGATGCAATTCCCAAAACCCACATGGTGACCCACAAACTCCAGTTCCAGGGCGTCCAGGATCCTCTTCTAACCTACGTAGGCACCAGGCGTGCACATGGTGTACATACACACAAGCAGGCAAAACACTCATACAGATACGTTAAATCCTAGAAGAAGAAAGAAAACTCGTTTCTAGATGTTGGTGGTAGAGCATGCCTGTAATCCAGATGTCTAAAAGGCTGAGGCAGGAGAGTCCAAGACTCTTGTGGGATGTGTAGCAAATTCCCACCTTAACCAAAAAGAAAGAAAAGTTTAATGTTTGTGTGCCGCACAGTGCAGAGACCGGAAGTGTTTTCCAGAGGGTAAGCAGTGTCTGACTTCAGAAAGAAGCCAGCGAGCCTCAGGTTTGTGTCAGCAACTTACAGTCAGTCTTCACTTCTGGGGTCCTGTTTGAGGGGCATTGGGTTCTGTGACTACCTGTGTAGCTGAAGGTGATGACGTTGAATTCCTGGCCCTCCTGCCTGCTCCTCACATGTGTTGAGATTACAGGCCAGGCACCACTGTACTTGGCTTCCTTCCCTCCTGAACAGCTTTGGAGACTTCTCAAATCTCAGTGTCCACAGTATTCCAAGTGTCCAACCTCGTCAAACAGTTGTGACTTTTGGGCAACCAGACACTTTATATGACCCCAGTTCTTCCTGCCCCCAAAATATGCTGTCCTCTTGAGAAGTTTCTATGCATTCTTCAGTACCCAGTTGAAGCAAGACACTCCTGTGAGAGCCTTCCTAACCTCCCAGCAGGCACGTGCACAGTGCATACCTCTGTTCAAGTTGTTTTTGAGCCTGTGTTTACCCTGAGTAGTCTCCTGATGTCCTGATAAGGTGAACACCGTGCTGAAGGGCAGGGCCAAAGCCTGTCGTCTTGAAGTCGTAGTTCCTGTTGAAACCGGGCCTTGTCTTTATCTGAAGTCCAACTGGGCGACTGGAGGAGACGAAAACTTAATGCTGATCATTTGGTTTGAGGCGTTTCTCTTCGGGAGCTTATTATACGTTACTGAAATAGATACAGTTAGGCTACATGAAGATTATTAAACAGATTGCTGGGATTGTCATCAATAAAAGAATTCAACTTTCTTATAAAACTATTGAGTAATATTTCGAGAAGTTTGAAGTCTTTGACTAACAAGATAGATTAAATAGTGCTTGAGGAAAAGCGATAAACGGACCAAGATTTTGTCTGGGTGTGGTAGTGCAGGCCTGCGAACCAGTCCTTCAGGAAGCTGAGGCAAGAGGATGGTGAGCCCCAGGCCTACCTGGGCCACGTGGCTAATAATACCGGTATACTAAAATTATTAGCTGGAGACCCACTCAGCCTTAATATGGGAAAACCAACACTGCAGCAGTTTCTTTAGGAAAGGCCTGCATGGGAGTGGCTTACCCAGTATGGGCACTGAGGAGGTCACTGGACTGCCTTCCCATGCAGTGATCCAGTCGGTCCTCATAGGAACTCTGTCGTAGGTAATTAGTGCAGTTTCAGAGGCGTGAGCCCAGGAGCTCAGAGGTAGTGTAGCTTGCTCAGGATCTCGCCGGCAATGTCGGCACATTTGAAACAGTAGTACCGAACATTTACTGTAGCAGTATGGTCTGCTTTGGTCTTCCACTGTGGTAAGGACCCTGAGTGGGTATTTGGCTCTTTCCCCCATGTAGATGAAGCAGCCTTAGAAATTAGGGGTAAGGCAGGGGTCTCTTTCCTGTTAAAGCATCCCATGTCCGTGTTTTCATTCCTCAGATTATGTGATGAGCATTGTAATCCCATGTTGTTCCTTAGAGGGAGGAGCACTGGAAACACCAGTGTTGGGATGGACACTAGATACATCTTGGCCTCTCTTGTAATTACCCTCTGGTTTTATGAGACAGGGTGCTGCTGTGCAGCTCAGCTTGGCCCTGTAAGCTTGTGAACTGTAAAGGTCTCCCCATTTCCCAGTGCTGCATTGTAGAAGTGCGCTACTACACACAGTCTCTCCTTCCAGTAGACACTTCTGTATCAGCCGATTGCATAGGGAAACAAAGGAAACCTGCCCAGGGGCCACAGTTTCTACCCCAACAGAGTGGTTTGCTTAAATTCTTAATTGGCCAAGGATGCAATTCCGTTTACAGCCTCTGGGGGAGTAATTGGCTCCTTAGGACCCTATTGTTATTTCCATAACTATGAGTCCGGACCTCTCTCTCCACTTTTTAGAGGCCATAGAAACCCAAGGCAACCCTGAATGCACAGAACCTTCCAGAGCACGCTGGTTCCCATCTGCAAGTGCTATGTCCCCGTGTGGGAATTCTGGAATCCCGCTGTTTCTATGAGCTGTCCGTTGTCAGACAGAAAGTGGCTTTCCCATAGTTTCCTGACTGGAGCCTGCTTAGTTCCTGGACTGGCCTTAGGGTATAGCCGTGAGGCAGGCTGCTCTAATTCAGGCCTGCCTTAGTCCACCAGCCTCTGTTGTGATTGACTGATAAGGGCTTGGATGGCTTGGTTTGGTTTAGAGGGGGTTATTTTGTTGTACGGTTTTGGTTTTGGTTTTGGTTTTCCACAGAAAACGGTTCACTTGTTTCTACAGTTTCCGTGTGTAAGTCTAGGCAAGTGTCCAAAAGGGTACTAGCCAAGACATCTGGAGGAGGGGACATCCAGAGCCCAGGAAATCTACAGGTGATTGCAAATATTTTAAACTGAAAAATGATTGTGTGTGTGTGTGTGTGTGTGTGTTAGGCACTCTGCGTATGCACTATGCATTCATGTGCCTGTAGAGGAGAGGACATTGGGTCCCCTGGAGCCAGAGTTAACACCAGTCGTGAGATGCCCCAGATGAGTGCTATGACCTAACCTGAGTCCTCTGCAAGAGCAGCAAGTGCTCTGAGTCTGAGCACCTCTCCACCCCGACTTTAGCTCTTAGAGAGTTGGTTAGTTGAGTATGTCCCCAGAGTCCCCGGCCTTCAGCTTTGTCGCCAGTGTCGTTCTCAGGACCCATGCGCCATAGCGCTTCCGTGCTGGTTCATGTACATTCAAGGCCCCAACACTGCATGTCAGAGAGCCAAGGGACAGCAGCTACTTTGGTGGTTTTTAGACAGCAGTTGGTGTTAAGTTATGCCCACTATAGGAAGATTTTAAAACACACCTTGAGTGTCTCTCTTGCCCAAATGCTTGGAACCAGAACCACTGTGCCATTTTTCCCCTTCAGAGTTGAGGATATTTGCATCTATATAATGAGATCTTGAGGGTGAAGCCTAAGTTTAAGCATGCCATATAGTCGTGTTTCGTACATATGTTATATACATAGTATAATTCAGTTAGGTTTACTTTTATGAAAAATTTTAGCATGCCTGTGTTTTAGCTGCAACTATCATGAAGTCAGGTGTGGTATTTTCCACTTGTGACATCATGTTGGCTCTAGAAAGTTTCAGATTTGGGGACAGCTTGAATTTGAGGTAAAGGATACTCACCCTGTACCGCTTTCAATGAGAATGACAAAGTAATCAACAAGAATGACTAGCATAATCCCTCAGCTGAAATAAATCACTGTTAATAACACTTAATTCTTTTCTATTCTTTAAATGTACATATCTTTAACATCATTAAAGTTAGACTAAATTTTCTGTTTTATGAATTGCTTTGTAAGTATTTTGTGCTTCAATTTGGAATTCCTTAATCACAACGCAAAAATATGGGTCAAAGGATGTTCATTCAAATCCTACTTAGTGAGAATTGTAAATTTTACTATAATTCTCATGCCAAACAAGGGTTGTACTATATGCACGTCACGGGACATGTCCATTCCTGTCTCAGCTTTGCTGCCTTTAGGGAGAGAGAGAAAGAGAGAGAGAGAGAGAGAGAGAGAGAGAGAGAGAGAGAGAGAGAGA